CAAAGTTTAATTTAGTCGTTTTCTTACGTTAAATATCGCATTATGAAATAATTAATAATTAATAAATATGACAAAACGTAACACGAATACAAATACAAATAATTCATACGAATAGTATTGATCGGAATATTTTATAAATTCCTTATATTACAAATTAAAAATGTGCAAAAATTTTAGAAATTAAAAATGACCCGAAGCCTATTTTGATTATTTTGTCAATTGAATAAAGGAAGAAAAAAAAACTTGATGTACAACAAACAAAACACACATTTCTAATTGTTTAAATAAAATCAGATATATTGTATACTTTTTCAAGTTAGCAAGTGATTGGTAACAATAACCAATTTGATTTTAAAATTAAATACTAAAATTATCAAATAAATAATGCATGTAACAAAAAAAAATTTATTATTATTGTTTTTTTAAAAAACAAGTTATAGAGCATGCATAATTATGATGCTAGCCAAAAATTGACAAAAATTTTTATTTAACACGATATTATTATTATACTTTTGTAATTAAAGTACAAAAAAATTCGTCTGATGGCTTGGTTTCTGGTCTAATATACCTACCTCTGTATAAAAAATGTTGAAAAACCCAACTCGACAAAATAGTTTGAATTTTGAGAAACAGCTTGGGCTAGAAACCTTACTTGATTGTCAGACCCATGTAATCATACGATTTTAATAATTTCAAAAACTAATTTTCGATTTAATGATTTAGCGTAACCATTTAATTTATTTATTATTAGTATAATTTACATTTGTATGATTGTAATTAGATATTATACATTCCTGATTGAATTCAGAAAATTCAGGTAAAATCAGAGTGCTAATTAGTTTGCAAGTATACGAATAACTCAAATTTATGTATCATGAAAGGAATATTACCAATTTGTCTGATACACACACTCTACTAAAAAACAATAATTATTACCAATACTAAAATATTCAATGTCAATACTGTTGCCATCACTATCATCACCTCATTTATCATTAGTACGATACATAAGCCGACGAAATAATTTTCGACGAAATGAACTGTCGACGAAATAATTTTCGACGAAATGAACTTTCGACGAAATGAACTTTCGGCGAAATAAACTTTCGGCAAAATGAACTTTCGGCAAAATGAACTTTCGGCAAAATGAACTTTCGGCAAAATGAACTTTCGACGAAATGAACTTTCGACGAAATGATTGTCGACGAAGTGATTGTCGACGAAGTGATTGTCGACGAAGTGATTGTCGACGAAATAATTTTCGACGAAACAAACTTTCGACGAAATGAACTTTCGACGAAATGAACTTTCGACGAAATGAACTTTCGATGAAATGAACTTTCGACGAAACAAACTTTCGACGAAATGAACTTTCGACGAAATGACTTTCGACGAAATGATTGTCGACGAAATAATTTTCGACGAAGTAAACGGGACCGAACCATACGCTGCAAAAATTACTTTAATACAATAATCAATATGCGATAAAGACTTTGGTCAATAATTATTGGCTCCTTGTATAGGTATTTATTTTTACTTTCATTCAATAAATAAATGCAGTGTGATTAATTATTATTATTATTAACTTTGATAAATTTATATTATGAAGAAGATAAGATGTTAGAATAACGAGGAAAATGTCAAAGATCCAAATATTAATGAGTTTGACAATGATGTTTTAATTGATGAATTTATTGTTAAATAAAGAAGAATTTACATATAAATAATTTTATTGATTCTGATACTTCAAGCACCATTGCCACATCTACTGATGACAACAACTTATAAATAGGAAATGATTTACAAGTAGCACAAAAATAAAAATTGGAAGCGATCATCACAGAATAACTAGACAAGAAATAAAACTGGCATGTCTTCAATATATATTTGTGATATATATTGGCAATATCTGCCTTAGTACGTTGAGCCTTTTACTCTTTTATATGTAGGTCCAGTTGTATGGACTGCTCTTCGTTATGTATTTAGGCTCAGTGTCTTTACTGGCCGCACCTAGTTGTTTTATTAAATTTATTTATTAACATTTAATTTTCTCTTGCATTTGAATATTTTGAAAAAAAGAGTAATTATTTGGAATGTTAAACTCACACCCTTATTATATAAAAATGTTGAAATCCCAAATTGCCAAAATAGTTTGAGCTTTGAGAAACAGTTTGGGCTAGAAACCTTACTTGATTCTTGGCAAAGTGTCTTGTTGGTAAAGTGGGTGTCAGTAAAGTGACCCAGACCCGTTTATTTGTAAAAAAATAATTTTATATTTCTGCCTCTACTCTCTGAATTATTAATATAAAAGTTAATTAATTAATTAAAACCTTGGAAAAAAATTTTAGAAGGAAAAATCTTGGAAAAAGAAGCTTAACTAAAGACCTTAGAAAAAAGTATAATTTGCAGCCATCCAACTCAACGAGGTTGGTGAAAAAATCTTAGAAAAAATCAATTGAAATCCTCTTTTTTCTTGCTTAGTATTAGGTGGTGATGGCATAGTTTGCATAATTTCACGAAGTTTTCTCTTTAAAATCTGTATTTTATCATTATCAAATTTTACTTCTCCTCTTGTTGATACCTCCTTCTCCATCACCAGCTGCAACGTAATAAATAGGAATGGGCCAACTAAGTATTTATTAAGAAGATACATAAAAGATAGGCATAAATTCTAACAACCTTAAAATTCCTGATTCATCAGATGAATGTTACCATAATTTGACGGAATTGTGAATGACCTCCTCATAAGCATAAACTGTCCTTCCATATTAACAACATCTTGATCTCAAATAGATATCCATGCATACCAAATACCACACAATTATTTATTAAGTATAAATAAAATGCGTACTATTGAACATAATAGTAATTATTTATTATTGAACCCAATACTTGCATGCATCAATCCAGCCAACAAAATTATCAAATGCTCAAGAGTGTTCAGCACACTTATTGCTGGAATAGGTTTACAAGATGAAGCTTTCAACATTATTGTTATAGATAATATGGTTGGCTCGGTCTAAAGACCTCCTACAGCTGCGCCACGTGCTCAAATTTCAAAAATTGCAATTTCATGATTCGTTCAAAAATGCAATAAAATTTTTTAAAAAAAGGGTTACACGTGATTTTGGTTAAAAAACTATTTTCCTTACCTCCAAATTTAGATATGATGGTCGAGTATTAGGCTAAATTTAGGAATGATGAACAAAAACTAGTCTAAATTTAGCAATGATCATAGTGCTCAAATTTCTCATGAGCATAGTAAAGTACATGTTTTAAAAAAGAATAGAACTCTACAATAAATAATTTTTTGGAGAAAATCTCTTCATTACATTAAAAGTAGAAACCTATTTTACCAACTAATGAGGCTATTTTTTTAAAAGGTAGGACAGAAAATGACTTCTATACTTTTAAAATTTGCCCAAAATTTAGGAGGTCTTTAGACCGAGCCAACTATATTAACTAGGAAACTCAGATTGCACACTTGCACTGTTAAACTTATTGACATTGCTAAATTAAAACAACTAATTAAAGTAGTGCAACATGTGTTGGTAAGAAATAATTATTTTATATTGTCTTTTTTCTTACTGTCATAAATACTCATATATATAATTCAACTCTTGTGCAGAATATGTATTGTGAAATGAGTAAATTAACCAATAAACTTGAAGTAACATATCACAAGTTTAATCACATTTTTGATTCATATGAGCTTATAGTTCCAACACATTGCAAGATTAATCAATTACATGAGCCCTGGTGGGCATAAAAATGAAATATTATACAATGCATGTATTTCCTTTAATATATGGGGCACAGAAAATAGAAAAGGACCTAACAGCAAAATCATGATTTTGAGATAACTAAAAAAAAGAGATTTTGACCCAAAAATTCGGTATTCGTATATCATTTCCATATTTATAGTAAAAATAGGACAATCATATTAGAAGTCATATGGCACTCAATTAGTGTGAGTGACCATTTTTACCCCCAAAAAGCTTGATAATTTTACCCTGAAATTTTCATATCACATCCAAAAATATGTAATTTTACCTATGAAATTCCCTATGACATTTTATTTGCTTTATTTAATATTTAAACATTTAGACAATGCAGAATAGACAATAAATTTTTTTCATCTGTTAGAATTTTATAAATTTTAAATGCAGTTGAGTGTAAAGTAATCATATTTGTATTATTCATACTACTAATTGAAACTTGACTACCAAGATAATAAATGATTTGTTTGATGACAAATGCGAGAACAATTCATGTTCATCTTTGCTTGTTGAATAAAAAATATTATTTTGAAGGTTTATATATACTTTACAGGAAACATTTGAAATAATATCAACATCAGTTATTGGTTCTTTTGCATAAGAATGATAATTTCCTGTAGTTGAGTGATAATATAATGCTAGAAATTGGACAAGATGGATTTTAGAATTAATTAGTGCAAAGGCAAATCCTCCTTTAATTGCTGGATATATTGATGAGATATTTGCAATGGTGATAGCTGGTATAGAAGGTGATTCTGCATTAAATTTAAAATTAATAACATGTTTTTGAGAAAATTTTATGAGATTAAATATTCTTACCAGAACTATTTAAATTTAGTTGCTTCAATCCAATATCTTGAGTTATTTGATTTATATTGTCTAATCTCTTTCTAATTCCCCATCTTATTAAACATGATTTTGGTTGATTGTCATTACTATTGAGATTGTTAACTACTTGTGACACTAAACTACTTATTGTAGATGGATTTGTATTTGTATTTGAATTTTGGTTGGTTAATTGGATATTTGCTTTGATTTGCAACATATTTTTAGAAGTGTATGCTTTGTTTTGAGTACAATATTCTATTAAAGCTGAAAAATTAACATGTCCATCATTATTAGTTATTTCTATATCCTTCAATAATATATCTTCTGATAAATTATTTCCAACAAAATGATTATTAACCAAAACCATATTATCTGAAATACTTCATCTATATCATCTTTTAAGTCAAGTTCCTCAAATTTTGCCATCATGCCAGCTAGCTCTGTTTCATTGATAGTTTTGTATTGTCTGTAGATGCAGCAATAGGACCACTATATTTAATACCATCAAGAAATTGTTTAAATTTGCACATATTTTCATGACATATTCTGGGATCATTTAATGATAAATCTGAATTTGTTCTAAGAAGTCTATAAAAATAAAAGTAAAATTTAATATCTAAGATAAAAGATTGATATTTATTTAAATTTACTTAGATATTTACCTGAGATTTCTTAATGACCTTCCTGCAAGATTTTCTTGAAACAAATGATATCTTGTGGACTAGTACTTGGTAATATTGCTAAAAAATTTGTAAATTGGGAAGGGTATTTTATATTTTGTAGTGACTTTCCTTCTGAGACTCTTGTAGAAACCTATACAAAAATTTCACATAGACCAATAAATACTTCTTTTTTATCAAAAGCACCATTGTTTCCCAAAGTAGCCAAATGATTCCAAAAATTCTTTGTATTGCAAGCGTGTAAATTCAATTACAGCTCAGGTTGTGTCCAATAAAATATATAAGATAAAATAAAATAAAAGTCCAATATATAAATCTCCCTGTTATGGCACACAGCTCAGGGTTCTCAAATTCCGGCCTCTGTTACAGCACACAGCTCAGAGTCTACTCAAAACTCTATTGCGCAATTCTCTCTACAGTACTAATAGAAGTACTGCTGGCCTAAAAATGATAAATAAAATAAAATAAAAAGAATATATACAAGAAATATTTACAACCATACCACTTGAGGCATCCCTACAAGCAGCATAGAACAATCAAATGGGGGGTTCCTAACTAATGATTAGTGGCCAGCCACTAATCATCAGAGGGGACCATGGAACAATTCACAATGGCTTTTCCTATTAACTATACAAAAATTCGTAATAAGGTAAAATGTGTTTATTTAATTTATTAACAACAGGGGAAAAAAAAAAAATTATTTATTCAATTATTATTAATGTTATTAACACCATCCTCCTCTCTCACTTGGTCTAAAACCAAGCCTTTTTATACCTCTTGAGGTATTACAAATAACATGACCTTTACAATATTTTATCCAATAAAATATGCTTATTAATCCTATTTTCTGTATTACTAGCTTACTAATTGCTAATTACTAATGCTCTGACTCATAATTACTAATCCTATGAGTCATTATTACAAATAATTTGATTAATAATTCGAAGTAAATAATTATGTCATAAAATAAGTTAAAAATAGAAATGATGTAATGATCTACATGTGTAACATGACGTGCAACCGTTGCAATAAATATATATAGAAAGATGATTGTTAATCGTGATGTAATATTCAGCGCATCACATGACTTCCGTAGTAAGTTCGTTCTAATTGGTCAATTGGTTGGTCCACGGTTTACAATCTCACAATGTCTTCCTAAAGGAGCATCAATAAACCAAATACCTTTATTGATAAAGTCTTTAAATAAATAAATATATAGATATTAATCGTTCATTTGTTAAGGATATAAAATAGAATCAGATATGTATAGTAGCTATTTACCTGACTTAGAAGACCAATGAAGGAAAAAAAATTCACATTTAAACCCTTGAGGTCTTTTAGATATGTAATTGATGACATCTGAGACAGGTATTAATTTTCTTTTATTGTCAGGTGGAATGTCTATAACCCTACCAGAATTATTTAAATCTTTAAAACCACCAGCATTATTTTTTTCACAAGGAATTGTAATTGTCAATCCATTAATAGCTGTTAATTCCACATTTACCAATTTAATCTTTGAGCATCCCCACCATGAAAACCACATAAGAAACATAACCAGAAATAGGCTTTGTAAGTGGATGATAATGGTGTGTCTTTATTTAACTCATGATGTGTTTAAATTTTGCCATATTCAAGTGGATCAAGATTTTTCTGTTTAATTATGCTTAAATCTTGTATTTTTTTAATTTTTCCATCTGAAAGTTTGTGAAGTCTTGGAAACATACGTTCATCATAAAGATCTGGAACAGGAGAAATGTTTGAATTGTCCCATAGATACCTACATATTGCAGCAAAACAATTTTTTATTGATGTTGGTGCATATGGCGATTTGTCTTTTTTGAAAAAATTGAATCAATTCTTCTTGTAATTGATTTATAACAGTAATTTTACCAATGTCATAATTGTATCCCATTTTGGTTCTAATATCTGTAAGAACTTTCAACCAGAATTGTGTATTACGAGTAGTATTTTTAACTTCGCCATAATTTATGGTATCTTCAATTTCTTTGTTTGTGGGTATATAAACATTTGACTAAAAAAAAAAAATAAATTTAAAAACTTAAAATATATATATTAAAAGAATTGACTTTATTAAAAGTACCTCAGTTTCTTCCAAAGAATTATTGTCTATGGTGTCAATTTCAGAATTAACAGATTCGAAATTCATAATTGTTTAAGAGAATGTCAGTGCCTATATAATGTTATAGTTTATCATTACAAAAAAAAATAACTCACTATTCTTATCAGTAAATAATGATTTATGAATCTTTCTTGCTAATGTGAACATTTTTCATAAAATAGTCATTCAATGAACGAGAATATGTTTTTTATTTTATTTTATTTTGTTTTTGGAGATAAGCTTTTTTTTAAACTACAAGGATCTACATCATGCACATATAGAAGCGAAGGATAACTCTCTTATCCCCACATTCGGGGTGATAAATTTATCAAATTTCATGTGAATTTGTGACCCCTTTTGGGCCACAAATTCAGCAGTAAATTTGCTGTTATCCCCCACTTCGTGGGGGATAACTATTATTTATTAAACCTCTTGCTAGTAATGGTTCCTCTAAAGATATATATGCATGTGTGTTTAAATATTTTTTTCACTATATATAATAAATAAAATATTATCCAAAATTTAATGTATCAAGTTTATATAACAAAAAAAATAAATAATAATATTTACAAGTGAAAGTTTATCTTACATCATAGATAGTTTTCTCGCATTTTTCTTTCTCTCCATCTCTTGTCAATAATAATGATGTTGTGATCAAAGAGGATGAACAAAAAGGCATAACATTAATACATGGTCATGGAACTTTATAAAAAGGGTGTTGTCTCAAATATAAAATCCTATATAATAATAATAAACTAAAAAAGATAATGGTTAATGACAATTTGTTACATTAAATTAAGATGAAGGAATGATTATTTCCGAAATGCTTGTATTGGTAAAATTTTAAATAAACATATTATAAAACAAAAATGCATGATTCTGAGCCTAGAATGTCTTAATTTGTTCACTAAAGCTTGAAATATAGCTCCTATGTAACCCTTCAAAAACAACTTGATCATTTGATCATTTTTCACACACATACTGAGAACATAGAAAGCAAAATATACACATTAAAAAATACATCTCAGGTTAAACAAGTTTTTGTGCGCAATCACGCGACTTTTTCTACATACGTAAATCAATTGTGAAAATCTTTTCCTTATGCAGGACGGTCTCTCCTGTTCATTCAATATCATTTAGTATGGTTGGCTCGGTTTAAAGACCTCCTATTGCTGCGCCACGCGCTCAAATTTCAAAAATTGCAATTTCGTGATTCGTTCAAAAATGCAATAAATTTTTTTTAAAAGGGTTGCACGTGATTTTGGTTAAAAACTATTTTCCTTACTGCCAAATTTAGATATGATGGTCGAGTATTAGGCTAAATTTAGGAATGATGATCAAAAGCTAGTCTAAATTTAGCAATGATCCTAGCGTTCAAATTTCTCATGAGCATAGTAAAGTACATGTTTTAAAAAAGAATAGAACTCTATAATAAATAATTTTTTGGAGAAAATCTTTTCATTACATTAAAAGTAGAAACCTATTTTACCAATTAATAAGGCTATTTTTTAAAATGTAGGACAGAAAATGACTTCTATACTTTTAAAATTTGCGAGGTCTTTAGACCGAATTTGTGAATTCCGAAATTAAAATAGAAAAGTTGATTGGTGGGGCCAGTCTGTACGATCTTCGATTCCATACTTTTGTTTCATACAGAGCATTTTTTACTACAGAGGCGCAGATGTACGGAATACGGAACCTCTATAGACTCCTTTTACTTCTGCTAAATCAATTAAAAAGAATGGAACGTTAGAACACACTGATTGTCACAATCCTAGAGTTTATGCCTTATTTACTCCACGTGTAAAAGATGCAGTAGTCAGTACTACATGATTGGATTGGAAGATAATTCCATCTACTGAGACCAATAACGGTTATGATGATTACCTTATGAATGTACCATTTTGGGCCTTTGGTAAAGAAAAAATAGAGAAATATTAATGATCCGAGTAAAAAAATAAATAGAACTTATTTACAATGTTGATGATTTAAAAAAAATATATAAGCAAAAATCAATCATCAGGATCTCTTAATAGTGGAATGGATTACGAAAGATGCCTGTACTGCACCAGGATTAGAACTCATACAATGAGCTATTTATAGGAGAGTAAGACCAGGACTTTCCAAGAATGCACCGAGTTTTTATATTTGAATTGGCATATTAATATGGGTGTATGGATGCTAATCCAAATAAACGTCCACCGCTAAATGAATATTTGATATCTGAAATAAATAACGCTATTATTCTGAAGAGCAACTTGATCAATTAGAAAGGTTTTCAATGAAATGGAAAATTGATGATGTTAATCCCAATTACTATAATTCACCCAAATGCCCATTTATCAAGCTATAAATTACAATTATAATGACAAGTATTGCAAGATTTATTATTTATTTACTTCCCACATCAATCAAGTTATCCGTTAATATAATTTCATTTTTAAATTCTTTTTGAAATTAATTTCTTTAATCTTATCCCACTTTTATCTATTGATTGATTCATTATCACGGGTCCATCCTCGAGTTAATGATTATGGATCACATGCTTGAGAACACGAAATTTTTTTGTTGTTTGTTACAAGAGGGACATTCTTTTTTGCATCATCTTTAATATTAATAGAAATTGCTATAATAATTATTATTATTCACAGTATAGCATTATAGTATATAATACATACATTGTGTACTAATATTACAGTCGTTCGTGCAACTTACGGTTAAATTAGCGCATAATAATAATAATAATTAAAGTATTTACGGATAATGTTTATAGAGAAATTGCGAATCTCCAAAAGAGGTCAAAAAGAAGGGAATTCTAAAATAATTATCGTTTTTTCTATCCAAAAAATTTATCCTTTGCATGTATGATTTTTTTTTTGAAATTATATATAATAAAAATAATAAAAATCAATACATTTTAGTTTAAAAAATTAAAACATCGAATCAGCAACTTAAAATTTTAGTTAATTGAAAAATGGAAATACATGTAAATCCACCTTTACCAACAGAAACTATTTTTATTAACCTTAATCTCGATGAAGCCATTAACGACACACCCAAATTTCGTGTAAATGTTAGAAGGTTTGAGGAACAGGTTGATCATTTTGAAAAATGGTTAGAACTTTATTTAAAATCATTAAAACATTTTATAGAAGAGTCTATCAGTAAGTGATTTGTTTTTTAATGTTCTCCAATTCCATAAAAATACTTGACAAAAGCAATCAGTAAAATCCTTATCTTTAAATTTTTAAAGAATTTATTGAGGCGAGTAATGTTTTGGCCAAACGTTCAATACCTTCTTCATCAGAAGATGCATTATTAGGTATGTATGTACAATTATGATCTGTAATAACAATATTATTATCGATGCAATCAATTGATTTTGGATCGTTTCCATCCCTTCAATATCATTAGATCACGATTTCACACTTCCTGCAGCTAGAATCTTTGCAGATACATTTCAAACAACCTTAGCATTTAAACAAAAATTAGTAACTATGCTAATAATATTTAATTAATTAATTTATTCTTATATTAATTATTATTATTATTATTACTAACTAACAAAGAATAATAATAATAATCTTTAGGTTAATGATATTGATGAAAAACTTATACAGCCTTTATTGTATTTTACAAA